TTGCAGGAAAGTGATGCATTGTATATGATAGGTATGTAGAATCTGATGAAAATCTTTTGATTATTGGCACTTTCAATAAAGGGGAAAACAAATAATGTTTTAAAAGCATATGATACTTGTGTAATCAAGGAAAGTTTTCCTAGCAATAATAATTATATGAGTCTTTTACAACTTCCTCCTCTAATTATCCGTTTTATTAGTAGATGCATATCACCATCCATCAGGCAACACTTAAAAACATAACGAGACATTGTTATATATACACATGTATATGTGTGTGTGTGCATATATATCTCTACAAATAGAGGTAGATTCTCAAACAGTATGGTCTATATATCAAAGTATGTTTGTCCTTATAATGAAAACAAAACTATTTACAATTAATATTTCCTCACCATAAACAATATGGAGTTAAGAGAGTTTATGGACTACATCCATGAACCATTCATAATCAGTGTCAACAGCTCAATAAACAGTATCAAGAATCATAGATCTCAGTGTTGAAAGGGGCCTCAAGGGTCATTTGGCTAATCTTCTACCATTTCAAAAACGAGGCAGCTGAGACTCAAAGAAGTTAAATTAGTTACTCAAAGTCGCTGTGCTGTGAATAGACACACAGGTGCACACGCACAAATACACACACGCAGTGTCATCTCTCTGATGGACAAGATGGCCACATGTCATAGGATAGCCTGAAAACAAATATCCTTATAACAAAGCCTCCTGGGATCTTCAGGAACTAACCCGGCTTGGAAGGGGTACATGATGATAGTACCTCAGATGATTTCTGTTATATAGCAAAAACAAAAAATATATAGCAAAATATATATATATATATATATATCTGAGGTTCAGAAATACTTCAGGGCGTAATGTTCCATCTCTCTAGCTGATTAATCCCGTTCTAAGATCCAGTATAATGAGAGGTAATCATGGTAGAAAGAGCAGAAGCTGTCCTCTCTTTGTGAATGCTTACCTTCTATGAGCTTTTGTGCTCCCCTTCAAAGACTATGTGACCAGGAGAAGCCAGATTTTATGAAAGACATGTAGTAGATGCATTTTACAATGCTGATATTAGAAGCCAAGGCCAGTACCTTCAGTATAGGCTAAATGTATTACTGAGATTTCATGGCAAGGAGTTCTATTTTAAGGGAGTATGATTTGACCTGCGGTATATCCAAATCTAAACTATGTTATAACTAGCTTCTATTGTATTCCTCTTGAGGTATTTTTAAAGACTAATGAGTTAACCTTTGTGAAGTACCATGAGACCTTCAGGTTAAAGAATCCTGTATCAAGTATCAATTCACTGCCACTAACAATACTCAGCGTACCTAGAAAACAGACTGAAAATAATCAGTAAACCATTCACTGCAGTCCCCTTGGTATCAGAGCAGCACAGTTAACATGCTAACAGCTAAGCGTCATGCGCTTAGAGGAAGAAAATGATCAATGGCAAAGAGCATATCCACCACCTTTGAAGTGACATGATCCATTATAAGAATCAGATGTTAAATTGCATCCTGTACTGAGCACACTCAATTAAAAGTCTGCACAGTGAGATCATCTCGATGGTTAAGTATGCTCTGTGGGAACAACCTTTATGGAGCTTAAAAATCACAGAAGGACTATTCATACCATGACACCGGAGATCTGGAAGGCATTTCCTCCCCCTATTTTTCAAGTTGGTAGTTTTATTAGGAAGCCTTTTTCCTGAAAGGCTGCAAAGTTTTGGATCATACTTATTCACTCTTTTGTTTCTTTGAGCAAGAGATGCTTCCAGTGTTTTTTCTACTGGGTCTAGAATGGATGAACGTGGCTTTAGTCTGCATTCTAATTTAGTCTACGTTTAGTCCACATTGTATCTGGACAAGAATGTATCATTCATGCACTTGATATTTGATGCCCTTCATCTCCTTGAACTTTCCCTTTTCAGTAAGCTAATCTATACACCTGAGTCCCTGGCTCCTTGTCTAACTCTTCCTTTGGTGGGGGTGAGGGTGGAGGCTAGAAGGAACGCTAGATGTAGAATGAAATCAACAGCCCTGGTTTCTACTTGCACGTTTGCAAATTAGCCAGGTCTATGGCCTTGGACAAGTCATTGAACCTCGCTGGTCCTCAGTTTCCTCGTGTTTCAAAAACTTGTACACTTCTTGTTCATCGTTTACTGTCTATCTCTCCCAGCCAGACTGCAAGCTCCACTAGTGCAGGAATCTTTGTATTCCTCACTGATGTATCCCAAGAGCTAGCACATGGCACATAGTAAGTGCTCAAGGAAAATTTGTTTAATAGAAGAAGTGTAGAGATATGTGGTTCAATGTTTCACAAATGTGGTAGCCTCTAGTTCACCTGTCTCAGCACCCTTAAGGATTCTAGTGCACTAAAGCCAGAGAGGCAAAGCAGTTTGCCCCTAGATGTGAGAGCTAGGGCACCATTCTAACCTCCTCATTTAATTGTCCATTGGCCAAACATTTATTGAGCCCCTATTATGTCCCTGTCATATATGTGGAATCTAAAATATGACACAAATGAACCTATCTACAAAACAGAAACAGACTCACGGACATATAGAACAGACTTGTGGTTGCCAAGGGGGGGTGAGGGAGGGATGGATTGGGAGTTTGGGATTAGCAGATGTAAACTATTATATATAGAACGGATAAATAACAAGGTCCTATCGTATAGCACATTCAATCTCCTGTAATAAACCATAATGCAAAAGAATATGAAAAAGAATGTATACATATGTATAACTGAATCACTTTGCTGTACAGCAGTAATTAACACAACATTGTAATTCAACTATACTTCAATAAAATAAAAAAAAATTTAAAAAACGACTTTTCCAAAGTCTTCTTGGCTGTAGGGTTTCTTCTCAAATAACCCATGCCCCCCTCTTTGTGCTCTGCAGTACATGGCCTTGGACACAGCCTAGCAATGATACCTCTTTATACATGGTGAATTAGGTGATGGGCTCCCAGAGGACAGTATAGTACAATGGTTCAGTGCATGGAGCGTGAAGCCAGAATACCTCAGTCCAAATTCTGACTCTGATACTTGTTATAGGGGTGACTTTGGGCAAGTTATTTAATCTCTCTGTGCCTCAGTTTCCTCATGTGTAAAGTGGGCCTAATTACAGTACTTATCTCATAGGGTTGTTATGAAGATTAAGTGAACATAAGTCCAACAATTAGAAAAGTGCCTAATACACAATACTTGTTATGTAAGTGTATGCTCTAGGTCATGATACTATATCTGACACATGGAAGGATGGAAGGTATTTAATAACATTTAGTAAATAAATTAATAATCAGGTTAGAGCTATACTGTACAGTCCCCTAATATGCAGTTACTTCCTTTTTGTTAACTATCTTCTAATTGTTCAATGTGTGTGCTCCACTAGCTCCTTGTGTGCAAGGACCACGTCCATCTTGTTCATCACTATATCCCCAGCACCAAGCACCATGCCAAGCACATAGTAGGCACACTATATTTGCTAAGTGTATAAATGAGTGATTTTTAAGATTTGCATTTTAGTTATTATTACACTGTCTTTAGCATTTTAATCATTTTCTGAAATTGTAAAATGCAATCCTTTCTCCCATATTATTTCTATGTGAGGCACAAAATTTTGTACAGTGAAGTATTAGGTTAGAATTAATTCCCTTAACAGAGCGATTCTCCTGTTTCTTTATAGTACAGGATTGCAGATTTTTGGTTCAAAACTATTTCAGGTGCTCACAGAGCACCTGTCCTTCTTGCTTATCACGTGCCATTTTACATCCGCAACAAAATTCATCAGCAGAGGCTTTGTAAGAGCTATTACTTATTAATTCTACTCACTTAATGAGCACATGGTCTGAGGATAAGAAAAAAATATATAAAGAACGATCCCTTATTTTTGGTTTAGGTGGAAAAACAAGTCACGTACTCAAATACCTACATCACAATGCCTTTTTTTTTTTTTTTTTTTTTTTTTTTTCCCCCGGTACGCGGGCCTGTCACTGCTGTGGCCTCTCCCATTGCGGAGCACAGACTCCGGACGTGCAGGCTCAGTGGCCATGGCTCACGGGCCCAGCCGCTCCGCGGCATGTGGGATCTTCCCAGACCGGGGCACGAACCCGTGTCCCCTGCACTGGCAGGCGGACTCTCAACCACTGCGCCACCAGGGAAGTCCCACAATGCCTTTTTGATTCTCTAGCAATGAGTGCGATAGGATTTCAGAGGATCCTGTTGATGTGATCAGGAAAAGTTTTATAAAATGGCTAAAACTGTAGTTGGTCTGGGTGGATGAGTTGAATTTTCACAGGTGGAGAGGGACTAGCATTCCTGCTGAGGAAAGGGCATAAAGAAAAGTGGGGGTAAGGAGAGCATACAGATCACTTTAGTGCAAGGAGGGATTTATGCAGGAAGCAGAAGTAGAAGATAGGCTGGAGAGAGAGATATGGAATAGTTTGTACTGGGCTTTTGGTAACAGGCTAGGATATCTGAAGGTTTTCTATAGACAACAGAGAACTGTGGATGATGTTAGGGTAGAGAAGCAAAGTTGTGGGACTATTAATTGGGCGGGAACATGGCACTATAGAAATAGAGTAAAGTGCCTGGCTAGGTTGAGTTTTTACATGATGGGACACCCAGTATAAATATTCTGCAGATGGCTGGAAAGGGAGGACTACTCAAATTTGGGGAAGACATAGATTTCAAATAATCTGTATAGAACTGATAACAAAAGACTTGAGAATGGATGAAATAACTACAGGAGAATACAGAACGAGGACAGAAGTTCAACTACAGAACTATGACAATGAAAAATACGATTAAAAGCCCAGCAGTATGTTGTATATGAAAATCCAGTAAAATACTAGCCTAGGGAATACCTGGAAGCCCTTTATAACCCACGAAGGCATACAGATCAGAGTTTAAGAGACACTACCTTAAGGTAAAGACCAGTAAGAACTTGGGAGTGAAGGAAGAAGAACAAGAAGAAAACTCTGACATACCTGTTGAGCAGTCAGATCCTGTCCACTTGGGATCGCAGCTGCACGTTCCAGTGTCCAGGAGAAAAGTCCCGTGTCCTGAGCACTGCTCTTGACATATGGGAAGTGGCGTTTCACAGTTGATTCCTCCCCAACCAGTAGAACAGTGACATTCTCCTTTTACACAGATGCCATGGCCAGAACACATTGGGTCTAAGCAGTCCTCTGAAGGCCCCAAAAAGGAGGGAAAAGGTTGAAAGTAAACAGGTGTGGCCAGTTTACCTTAGGACAATGAAACTGAGATACATTGATTTCCTAATATTATATCATTTATGCTGTTTTAATTAGGCAATAAAATGACTCATGTAAACGCTGTGTTCAAACCAGAATATTATTAGCACTTAAAAACATGGTAGGCTATCATAAAGGTTGCAACCTAAATTTAGAGGAAGGAAACCACACATATGTTATGTGAAATTATGAGCAGTGTATAGTACTCCCACGCAAATGGGTCGGTGGACCAGTGTGGGCCTTCAATAAGAATTCCTTGGCTTTGTAAGAAAGATCAAGAATTTTTAGTAAGTCATTCCTCGTCTTTTCTGAAATTGGAATCATAGTTCCCAGAAATGGCTTTTATTTGATGTGTCTAGAGGAGTTTTTATATATATTTAAGTTTGGATTATTTAAGGTATTAGGTGAGGTGACCGCTGTTTCATGAAATCATACAATATAATCAATTTCTTATAGTTTCTCATTTATCCCTAAGAAGCACTGAAAATGAAACATTTTTAACGTAATTTCAAAATTCTTTTCCTCGTGGCTTCTCTTTCTACCAGGATGCTGTGACATAGTTTTCAATGCTTTAGAATATCACAGACTCAATTATATTTGTCTCGGATTCTGTGAAGTCTGGAAATTTTTGGACACATTCTAACAAACACTCTATTTTAGAAGTAGATTCCTATGTTTGCCTTGGGGAAAATCATTTTGTGCTTTTAATTGAGTGACCATCCCACGGGAAATGGGAAAGTTGATTTCCAAATTTTTGATCTTCCCATACAAATAAGATGAGACCAAAATAACTTAACCATGATGAGGATGTATGCTTTGGATTACTTTTCCAGCAATGGAAATAGACTAATACAATCTGCCATCATCTGCAAGACTGGCCTACTTTCAGGGTGTGGCATGTACCATGGAACAGAGTAAGTCTAACTAAGCAGTATTATAATTAGTGTTATTGCCATTATAATTAGCCCATGATCTCAGGGTCATTAGCACAATGCTTTAATACCTGAGCTAATCAGCAAATAAACACCAGAAGGTACATCTGATTTCAGCCGCTCATTATTTGGAGGGAGAGGAAAAGTCTAAAATGTAGAATATTGTTTCAGAAGGAGGTAATTTTATTACATCAAAATACAATAATCTTAATAAATGATATAGTATTTAACTTAATATAGTTTCTTTTTTTAGAAGGCCACCTTCAATGAATAGGCAAGTCATACGTAAGTAAGAGGCACAAAGTCATATGGCTGAAAGGACCAGGTTGCTAGTATACATGAATGAGATGGGCTGGATGTAAGAAAACAGGGTGTCAAATGAGTTGAAAATTACACCCCCACGAAAACCTGCCCATGGATGTTTACAGTAGCTCTATTCATAAGTGCCTAAATTTGGAAACAGCCTTGATGTCCTTCAACAGATGAATGGATAAACAAACTGGTATATCAAGACAATGGAAATTCAGTGAAAAGTAAATGAGCTATCAAGCCATGGAAAGACATGGAGGAGACAAATTCATGTTGCTAAATGGAATAAGCCAGTTTTAACTTTTCCATACTGTGTGATTCGAATTATATGACATTCTGAAAAAGGAAGACTACAGAGACAGTAAAACAGTGGTTGCCAGGGGCTGGAGTAGGACGAGGGATAAATAGGTGGAGCACAGAGGATTTTTAGGGCAGTGAAATGATTCTGGATGATACCATGATGGTGGATACATGACATTATCCATTCAGCAAAACCCATATAATGCACAATACCAGGAGTGAACCCTAAGTAAACTATGGGCTTTATTTAGTTACTAATCATAATGTACCAATATTGGTTCATCAATTGTAACAAAGGTACTTTACTAATGCAAGGTGTTAATAATAGGGGAAACTGTGTGTGTGTGTGTGTGTGTGTGTGTAGGGGTGAGGGCTATATGGGAACTCTGTACTTTTTGCTCAATTTTTATATCAGCCTAAAACTTCTCTAAAAAATAAAGTACATTAATTCAACAATTAAAAAAACAAACAAACAAGGTGTGCTGGGAATAAGTGTCCAGTTTAAAGGAAGCTGCCGCTAATTGGCTACAATCATTGCCACCACATAGGAATGTGGGTCCAAGGTTACCAGATTTTCTAGTTGTTCAAGAGAAGCTAGAAACAGAGACTTTTATATGACATTTCTCTATTTTAAATTTTGGGAAATACGTCACATTAAACGACAACGAAAACACCACCACTACTTTGTGAATCAAACAAAACCCATCCATGGGCCCAGTTCAACCTGTGAGCTCCTGGCTTGTGATGTCTGACTTAAAATATTTTTTGTTAAAAAACTGTATTTGAAAAGTTTATACCTTTAAACATGGTATTCCTTGCTATCTTGGTTATTCTGTAAATTTTCTTAGTGGCCCCTAGAAGGCAAAGATAAGCTAAGTCTTTTTTCCAACGACTTACAAGATTTAAATTAGAAGGGTCTAAATTAATTAGGTTAAATGTTTTTCAGGGCAGACTGTAGATGTTGTGACAGACACCATTTTTTGGTGAATGTCTGTGTGTCCATATAGCATCTGAATGTACAACTTAAATATCATGATTGCAGATGGATTCCCATAAAAACAGCTTCCAAAAGTAACTCAGGAACTCTACTGCCTTCCCTAGGCCCAATGACATTCATATTGGAACAGATACAATCTTTACACCAAAATTCTACTATGGCTAATGGGAAGTGGAAAGCTAAACTCTGGCTTGCTCATGGAGTGGAATGAGATTAAACTCTTTAAAATGCTGTGTAATCGTCTCAATGAGCCATCTTTAAAAAGCAATTATAGTGCATTTTCAGCAGTCTCTTTCCTGAACAACAGTTGTGATGAGACCATCTCCCATGGTAATGGTTTAATATTATTTCTGAAAACAGTCTTATTTGAGGAATGTGACATGAAAAAGGTCTGATTACTAGTAAATTTATTTTCCAATGTGTCTTCTTTAAATTATAAAACTATTACTATTTTGAAGTATGTTTTGTAAATGATAAAACTATTGTGTGTGTATGTGTAAAGGCTCCTTTGGGGGTGAATTTTAATATAAAGGCACTGCCTCAAAACTCATTAGTGGTAAGTCTACTTCCTTAGGCATGGACGTCAAGTTTCAGCAGGAGGTATGTAAAAATAAACAATATAAAGCAATAATAATAATGGTAATTACAAATCACTCCCAAAGAAAACATTCGTGAAATGGTTCCAAGTGTGCACGTATTATTTTTATTATGTGCTTTAAAGTAAGATGTAGCCTAGTGCACTCTGTAATAATGAAAGCATGTAAATTAACACCTAAAATCATCAGTATGGAAATTCTCAAGTTATAAAACAGTGTTAAAACGAGGGGGGAAATGCCATTTTTCACTACTGCTCTGCAAGGGCCACAGATAAAGCCTCATGTTAATATGAGAGGCTGTCAGAAGAGACACGAACTCCCCCACTCCATGTACGAAGGAGACATGTTGAGCATTTAATGGTTTGCAAAGACCACTTACATCTCTACTAGAAACCCAGAATGACACCTTGGACAATTCAGTGAGAGAAAAGCCTGGAGCAACAGATTAACACAGGGCTCTGACCTTCCTCGCATATTTCTCCTTTGTATCCTGGCACACAGATGCAGACTCCCATGATGCAGGTGCCGTGGCCAAAGCACGTTGGGTCAATGCATTGCTCTTCTGGAACGTCGCACTCTGGTCCCTTCCAGCCATTTCGGCAGACACAGTGTCCTTTCTCGTATTCTCCGTTCCCACCACACAGCACAGGGCACGAATCTGAAGGTTGGCAAATGAACTTGTAATGTTCGCATAATGCTTTTAAAATCTCCAAAGAGCAATTCTCTATCGATTCTCGTATAATATTTCTGGTAAAAAAAATTGTACTATTTCTGTCTTACCATTTATTAAATTGGCACATGTTCGTGATTACAAACAGAATTTTCCTCTTATGGGACTGGGGGAAAGATAAATTATAAAAACATCCTGAGTGGAGAAATTATTTCAAGTACTTGCTTTTGATTCCACCATACTCTTAAACAATTATTATTATCATCATTATTATAAGCTAGGATTTTTCTCTTTTATGGTTTTTCTTCCTCAAGCAGATGTATGCTACTTTCAGGAAGAAAACCCTGAAAATCTGTAAAACTAGTAGGGAGTTATTCGTATTATAGAATGTTATCTTTAAAAAGTTGTGCATTTAAAGAGATTTATGCTGGACAGATGTCTGTGCCTACCCCACACTGTGCAGACCTTTATTAGAACACTCACTCCGCTTTGTCACTGTTATGTCTCCTTATTAAAAATATGGGCTTTCTGAGGGCAGGGCCTGTACCTTGTCTTATTCATTTTTTCAATACCAGCCATCACCTCTACTTCTACCTCTCACCTCCTCAAGATCTATCAGAGAACTTGGAACCTAGCAAATGCTGTAGAATTCTCTGTTGAAAACAAAAATCGTATATTAACGCATATATTTGGAATCTAGAAAAACGGCACAGATGAATCGGTTTGCAAGGCAGAAATACAGACACAGATGTAGAACAAAGGTATGGACACCAAGGGGGGAAAGCGGGGGTGGGTGGTGGTGGTGGTGGTGGGATGAATTGGGAGACTGGGATTGACATGTATACACTGATATGTGTAAAATAGATAACTAATAAGAACCTGCTATATAAAAAATAAATAAAATTAAATTAAAAAAAAAAAGAATTCTCTGTTGAATAGAATTTAATGTAAAGAAAACGGAGTGGCTGAGAAACCTGAGATTAAAGCATTAGCAGACTGAGAACTTTACGAACACATTGCGAATGAGCAGAAAGCATCTCTAAAGTAATAACTGGAAGTCTATGGGGAAAACACAGTGTGATTTATCTACAGCTTTTCAAGAATTAAACTATGGGCAAGTCTAGTTTAAGTCTAGTAAAGTTTGAAAGTTTAACTTCTGCCTTTCCAGTCTTTCCTTTCTAGGCTACTCACGGATTTGGTGACTGTCTACCCCCTCCTGTTTACCTTGGTGTGTACAACCGGTTACCCACTCTGCCCTTTCTTAAAGTTCATCCATTATAAATGAGTTTATGAAGGGAATAGAAGTATCATGGAGTGGTTGGGTCAGAGGATCCAGGTACAAATCCCAGCTGTTAGATAACCTTGGTATTTCACCTCTCTGAGGTTATTTCTTTGCCCATAAAACTGTGATAATAGATCTACATCGTAGGACTATCGTAGGATGTAGGAATTAAAAGAAGTACTGCAAAGTGTTTAGAACAGTGCCTGGCAGAGCAAGTGCTCAGCTTTTGGTAGCGGCAGTTCGGGTGTTGTTGCTATTGCTGCTGCTACTGCCACTCCTGTCCCTTCTCTTCCTCCTATTGCTACTAATTCTGAGTTCTCAAACGACATTGAGCTCCCTAATCAATCAGTGTAACAGAGCAACCTCACCTCTAGCACAGTCAGGCCCAAGGAATCCTGGGAAGCAGTGACAATGGCCAGAGATACACTCTCCATTTCCATTGCAATTGGTCGAACAGTCATCCATTATTTCTGTTAATAGAGAGAAAAAGGAAAAAAAGAACAAACCTATAGATTGTAGAGTCCTTAATTTTTTTCTAAATTGCGAAAACTCTGGGCCTGTAACAATCTTTGCCCTCTGCTGTCCACAAAGCACTTACTATTTAAAATCAGATGCCAAAGATTTCTGTAAGATGTCATATGCAGTACCGAATTATTAAAAGCGCCCTGGATTTGCTGAATTGGCTATTCAGGAATGAAACTAAAAACCAACCTCACCTCTAAAGTGCATAAAGGGTCTAGATGAGTTGTATTCTTATGAGACATTCACGATAAAGCTAAAAATGTACAAGGATTATAAGTCATTTCTCAAAAGCAAAATGGACTTTAAAATGTAACCCAGAAAACGAAGTCTATTGTTTATTTTTCAAATTTAGGTTGTAGCAAATAAAAATTTCTTCTCTAGCACCTAAAATGTTTAATCTACTATCTTGACAGCTTAAATACGATAATCAGTATTTCATTTTCATTAATAAGTGACAACGGAAAGCTTTTAAAGTTAAGTGTTCATATTAAATTCACCACCACTAAAAGCATTAGAACCTAAGTATTTTGTTGAGAAATGCTTTCTTGACTGTAAATGCTTATCAGTTCTTTGCCACTAATTTCCCTTCAATCCATTCTTAGAGAAGAATAGGTTTCAGGGGGAATTGAGAAGGCTTCGAAGGTGCCCATAGGTAGTTGTGGTGACATAAAGATGTGCAATGCAACAGTACTTTGATAAGTCTTGTGTTAAGTAACTTGATTGAAGAGGTATAAAGTTATACAAAAATCAGTCTCTGATGAGGATGTTAAAAACTGTTTTTAGTTTAAAACTGTATTTGAGTATGATAGCATCAAATTCCAAGTCCGTGAACTATTATGATATGCATGTTTTACTCCTGTAGCTTAAAAAAATAATCTTCTCATTACTCTTTTCTGGAAGTTTTCCATAACTTAGCACTCCTGGATTCTGACTTTTATGTTCTAGCCCATTACACTCATAATTCTCGTATGTACCAGTTTTTTCTTTTCAATCCAAATTATCTACTTCATCTAGTTTCACTTGGATAAGCTATTTCCAATTAGAGGGAAATATTCTAGTAAGTAGTCTTGGCATCTTCCATTAAACTATGAGAATTTATAAAGAGAGTTGGGAAATAGCATTTCTTCAGTTGTGGCCTTTTGACCACCTATATCAGTAGGATCACCTGAGGCACTTAAAATGCAGATACCTGAGCTTCACTCCAGATTTACTGAATTTGCCTCTGAGGGATGCAGCCCAGTAATCTACATTCTAGCAAATACCTCAGGTGACTCTACAGGTGATGACCGAATTAAAGCATTGAGAACCAATGCTTCAGATAGTAAATTTCCAGGTTAGAGGAATTCTAGTCTAGACTTGGAGTTCTGCAATAAAAGCAAGAGGAAGAAAGTGGTATCTAGTCCATTTAGGTGATTCTTAGAAAGCTGAGAACGAATCCAGTGGCTGTGTGGATAGCCACCCTATTATCAATCAGAGATTATTCTTCTGACATCTGTGTGAATACATCAGATTCCTTTCTGCAGGTTTATGGTGGCCTGTTTTCTGATTCCTGTGCTAGAAAACTGAACTGGATAAGAAACTGACACGTGGCATTTGCTGAACAACTGGGCTGGCAGGAATGTAACATTTGACAATGAGTTAACCATTTTTAACTCACTAAAACATTAGTTATTTTCAGAAAATCATTAATTTATTTAAAAGGTCATTATGAAAAGGCACAAAGGGTCTTTTTTTCTCTTTTCATTCAGAGATGGAACAATTATTATCTATTTTCTTATCTTGCTTTCTTGTACCAAAAAGTAACGGCAGTTCTTAAATCTACATTTGGATTTCCCCTGCCCTGGATGGTTAATAGGAGGCCATGGAGGAAGCTTTCAAAGGTAAATATACTTGAATTTAATTTCACACCAGGTCCTATTGACAACTTTACGGAAGCAGCCTTGTGGGAATGTAGCTATTATAGAAAAAATGTTGAATAAAGTTTGCTATCAAAATGAATAAAACTCCCTACATCTTATGGACTTATCTAAGAACCGTTCCTGGGCCCATAATGCTGCACAGAGCTTAACACCTGCAATGCAAATGAGAAGAGAAGGCAATATAGGAGGTTTTGGAAGCTGCCATCTCCACTGGGTATCAAAGAGACATAGGGATAGCCTAGGGGCTCCAAAAGGAGGATGGCTACAGCAGAAACACATAAATAACTAGTGATGAAAAAGAATGTGCTTTTCTGTTTATACTGGCCTCCAGGAAGTTTGCCTTCTATCTTTTAAATCTTACTTCAGACTCACTTCCTAGACACCAGTTCATTAGAGTTGAGAATCATTTTAAACTTCTATGCTTCAAACCCTGTTTTTACGCTACAGCCTAAAGCCCCTTGGTTTCTGCATCTGCTCTGATGATGGGTTTTGCTTCTGGCAGGTTTTCTCATGGGAAAAGCCAAAGCTAACGAATAATCGTATGGAATGAGTATGGTCTAAAGGGCAGGGGTTTGGAATCAGAGATACTGAGTGTCTCCAATCTCAATTTTGCCACTTGCTGGCTGTGAGACTTTACCAAATTATTTACTCATCCCAAGCCTCTGATTCCTTACTTGCAATGTAAGTAGCACTATACCTATGCTATTGAGGTTGTGATGAGAATCAAACAAGATAACTGAATGTAAAGCATCCAGCAGAGTGCTTGGGGCAGAATGGCACTCCATAGATGGTATATATTATCATGTTATTGAGCAGGTTGGCTGAGATTAGGGGATATTGATAACTCTGTCTATACAGCTAGAAAATAACATAATAATATAGGCCAGTAGCTAGCCTATATTAGTCATTCAATAAATGTTGGTTATTAATGCTGTTTTGATCCCTATGAGTAGCAGACCAAATATAGTTAAGATCAATCAACTGATTCTAACATTATCATGAAATAGACAAAGGAGCAACATTTAGAAAAGTTCATACAGACCTTAATTTGTTTAATCAAATACATTATCCTCTTTTTTACTATGATTAAGATAAAGTACAAAAACATAAAAATAATGGGGAGAATTTAGAGTGAATAACTTATATACCTTTGACATTTTGGGAAATTTACTTGGATTCTCTTTAAGTGGAATTATAGGAGAAATGTTTCTGTTGCTTCTAATCTTAAAGACAACAGAAAAGTAAAGAAACTGACTTGCATTAGGAAAAGCAAATATGTTGTTGCAGAGGAAACTAACAACTTCACCTCTGGATAATAGAAAATTATATCTCAAAGGTTAGGTTCTTTGGGGGGAGGAAGTAAGGAACAGGAAAAAAACTTCAAGCATGTTTCTGGGTCTACTGATTTTTGAAAGGTTAATAGCTTGGTTAGTGTTTTAACTTGAGCTTAGGGGTAAGGATAACAGGAAGAGAGAAAATCTTCTTCACAAATGTTTTAAATCTTCTAATTCCTCTGATTTCTTAGGAGAAACTCAACCTCTCATAACTCATTAGTATTTGCATTATCAAAACTAGGTCTTGGTGGACAAATATCATGAAAGGTGTGTCTGCTGAATTTGCCCCACTGAATCTGTGAGTGGCAAAACAGTGTCACGACTTAAAATACTTTTTTTTCTAATTTAACAAACACTTTGTCTTTTGAAGATGTAAGATCAGTGGAGTTTTCTCTAGGGGGAAAATCATCAGTGCATTTTTATTGCCTTTCTGATTACTTCAGAGGAAAGTTTTTGATAATCTTGCAGCGGGAATACCATTTTCTACTGACAAAAGGTCTTCAGCATCAAGTAAAAATAAAACATAATTGTTATAAAGAGCAGATGGTATATCTATTAACAGTCAACACAATTTCCTAAACATATGGTTGAACAGGTTAACTAAAGGATAAAGTGGTGAGAGGTGTATAGAAAACTGACAGCTGCAAGATACTGTCCCTTCTTTTAAAAGACATGTGTTTTAGGAAAATTCACACAGTAAAATACTGTGTCTGTGAGTTGTTTACCCTTAGGGCTCTAAATTTGCTAAAGATCTCGGCTTTATTCACACAAAGGGTTATGAGGAATGACTTCACCCAAAAAAATGACAAGAGCTTGCTGTCTCTGATTAACTAGGGTGAAAGTGAATAACAGTGTGTGTAGACATTGTATTAAAAAGAACATGCTTTAAAAGGCTCTGAGTGCAGTGAAAGAGCCATTGTGATGATTTTTAAACTAAACAGTTCTAAAGAAAGAACTTTGAATGACCCAAGTTATTATCCTTAAGACTCTTCTCTAGTCTTAAGTTGTATTTTTAAATCTTAATGGTTCTAGCATCAGTTGTTGTAAAGAAGAACTGGATTGATGCTAGTTTTTTCATTTAAAAAGGTATTTATTCGCTTTTTCTTTTTTAATAGAACTTGAATTAACAGGGCTTCTCTTGCTTATTTCCCTTCTTCATGAAGTTGTTCATCTATGTATTCTCGGTAACAGTATTAATATTATCCAGGTAAGTATTCCTGTTGAAAACATATAAAAAGGAGCGTGGCAAGTAACCTAAAATAGCAGCAAATAAAGGAGCATTTTAAAAATCTTAATCAGCATTTAAACAACATTACTGACAACAACAATATAAACCTTTCTCATTGTGATCTATCCCGAGTAATGACTTTAAGGTAGAATGAGCAATATGCTTAAATAACATCTGTATCACTTTCACCACTGACTGTGTCTTTCTGGAGTTATACTGTCAATTCAAAATCATAGCCAAGGCAGCTTACCAATTGCTGTAGTTAACACAAATACTTGCTCCATCTTTTTTCCATCATTGTAAAATGCCAGATACCAAGGCCCTTGGTCCATATACTCTATGAAACCTGTTTCCTGCAGTGAGGTTAAGATCAGGTTCCGAGGGGAGTGCTGGGTATCATCAGAGCTCTTGGAGTCCTGTTTGACCAGTTGTTTTCCATCCATTAGTTTTACAAAATCAAACTGGAACAAATACAAACACAAATATGAGCCGCTACTTTTACTTCTAAGGCTGATAAACATCTCTCACTTCAGTTGTGCTACTTCATACTTCTTTGCTTTGGAGGTGGGCAAAGTGGGAGAAGAGGTTATTCATTCTTAAGAATATCTAAACCCAAAAGCATATTATTAATTCTGAAAAAAATAACTCTCTACTATATTTATAAATGTTATAAACCTTTCGGTTTTAGAGTATTAAAAATAACTGTTTAAAAATAATAAACCAAGAAATATAAAAATTCTTATTTAGTATTATGCAAGAGAATCTTGATATTTTACTAAAGTATCTGATAGAAGATACTTGAAAATAGACATTCCCCTTGAAATGTTACCATGACCTTCTTTACAAATTAAAAAGAGTTTTACAGTTTTTAAAACAAATAAATGAACAGTTGAAAATTTGAGAACATTCATCATAATTTACTACATTTGTGGTAACATATTTAAATATTCAAAGACCCTGTCCTTTTTTTTTCCTAATCGGTGGACAAGCACATGGCACATGTATCCCAAGCCCCAGATGGTTATGATTCCCTATGCTACTTCTTAGATGGAGCAGGGCCTCAAATGGGTTCATGTAAGGAAGAGATAAGGGAAGGAAATTAAGGGAAATGATGTGGCAAAGGTTTATAAAAGGGTCTTGTAAACCATAGAGGTTTTACATATTTGTGTTTTTATTAACAATAACAAGGAAAAAGTTTTACCTGCAAGACAAAACGTGCCTTTTTGACTCATTTCCCTCTTGATTCGCATTCCTTTATTGGGACCACAGGTCAGGAATGTATGGAAGCAGCGGAGGAGGTGTGGGCACCAAAGCTAAGTAAGAGGAGGGGGCTGGGAAGGCTCATGACCATCCTGTTCCAGGAAGCAGAACTCAAGTTGCAAGAATATTTTCTTAAACTCCCTTTTTTGAATCTGCTCTGCTAAATGCTAGTCCTTGTTTCTCAGTACCATTTTTTTCATTCGCTTGACTGTGATTATTCTCGATATTTGCTCATTACAAAAACTGTCTGCCTTCACCTTTGACTCCCACATACTTTGCAAGTCACAACCCCTAAACTATTCATCTCACCACTCTCTAAAAGGGTCAAGAAATACCTATAATATCAAATACCTGAGTATGTGTAGGTGGAATGTTTCTTCTGCCATAAATTCCCAGCAGAGAGTCCTTGGCTAAAGAAATATTGAATTTCAGATATATAGGATGGTGGATAGTAATCTGGAAACGCCAGAATAAGCCAGGTGGAATGGTCTGCATGACCTGTGCACCAATGTCAACTTCTCCGGTGTCTATTGCCCGTCCCTTCTGAAACACTGGTTTTAAAAGTAAAGAAAATTATACATAATATTAATCTTAATTTATAAAGCAATGGTTTTTAGATTTTCAAGAACAGGTATATCAAAAAGACTTACTCAGCTCTTTCTTCCTCCTCACCCCACCCATCTTTTAAGACTTTACCCAAATTTAATATCTTCCAAGGAGCCTTCCATAACCAACCACTATATCAGTCTCTCTTTCCTCTAAACTACTATTGCATTTATTTCCATCATTTGAGTCATTTTAACCATTATTTACTGAACTTTGTCTTGATAGCTGTAGGAGATACAAAGATGAGTAAAATACAGCTCTCGCTCTTAAGGAACTTTGAATATAAAAGAGAAAACAGGACAAGTACACAAATATCCACATTGTAAAGAAAAATACCTGAGCTGGGTATACAAAGGAAGGAAAAGGTTTTGGTTGGAGGATACTCATCATTCCTAGCTGTCTCAGTCCCCTTTATATTCTTTAATTTTCTCCTTAGCACTTATCACCACCTAACATAGCACATGTTTTATTTATTTATTGTTTATCACCTGTTTTCTCCCAATAGAATATAAGGTCCATGAGGCTGTGGCTGTTTTGTTTATTGCTTTATCCCCAGTAACTAGACAAATATAGGCAAACAGTATGTGATCAGTACATATTTATTCAATGAATGAATGAAAGAATGAATCAGAAAAGCCTATGTATGGGAAGTGGTACTGAAGATGGGCCTTAAAGGATGGAAAGGGTTTCAACAGAGCTGTTGGGAAGGATTTCCCATGTGAAGGGAACAGCTTGAACCAAAACAAAGAGAGAAACCGTAAAGCTAAGGTGCAGGGTATGGGTATATAGAGAGGAGCAGTTGGAGATAGGGCTGGAGGGAAAGGACGGCATGATATTCTATAGCTCCTTGAGAGCCAGTCCTAAATAGTTTACTTAGTAAAGGATGGAAAGCCATTAAAGGTTTTTAGGAAGAGGGGAGAGGTTGGGTACATTAGAAAGGCTAATTTTGGGACTTCCCTGGTGGCACAGTGGTTAAGAATCCACCTGCCAATGCAGGGGACACAGGTTCGAGCCCTGGTCTGGGAAGACCCCACATGCCCCGGAGCAAGTAAGCCCATGCACCACAACTACTGAGCCCGTGTACTGCAACTACTGAAGCCCGTGCACCTAGAGCCCATGCTCTGCAACAAGAGAAGCCACCGCAACGAGAAGCCCGCGCACCACAATGAAGAGTAGTCCTCTCTAGCTGCACCTAAAGAAAGCCCGTGCTCAGCAACGAAGACCCAACGCAGCCAAAAAATTAAATTAAAAAAAAAAAAAGGCTAATCTTGAGGCAGAAAGTAGGATGCTTTAGAGCAGGAAGGCACAAGAATGATATAGGAATTATGGGGCAATAATTCAGGTGAATGACATGAAGATCTAAATTTAGGGTAGAACCAACAGCTCATGTGGAAAAAGTACATTCCAGTCAATTGTAAAATTAATAAGTGGGACTACATCAAACTAAAGAGATTCTGCACAGCAAAGGAAACAATAAATAAATTGGAAAGGCAACCTACACAATGGGAGAAAATACTTGCAAACCATATGCAGCCATCCCTCAGTTCTGTGGGGAATCAGTTCTAGGATCCCCACGAATCCTAAAATCTGTGGATGCTCAAGTCCCGTATATAAAATGGCAAAGTATTTGCACGTGACCTATGTACATCCTCTCATATACTTTAAATCGTCTCTAGATGGCTTACAATACCTAATACAATGTAGATGCTATGTAAATAGTTGCTCACTTGTGGCGAATTCATATTTTGCTTTTTGGAACTTTCTGGAATTTTTTTCCCTGAGTATTTTTGATTCGAGGTTGGTTGAATCCACAGATGCAGAACCCGAGAATATGGAAGGCCAAATGTATCTGATAAGGCATTAATATCCAAAATATATAAAGAACTTGTACAACTTAATAGCAAAACAGCAAATAATCCAATTTTTAAAAATGGACAAAGGACTCGAATATATATATTTTCCAAAGAAGACATATTAATGGCCGATAGGTATATGAAAGGTGCTTAACATCACTAATCACTGGGGGAATGCAAATCAAAATCACAAAATCACCTCACCCCTGTTTGGTTAGATATTATCAAAAACACAAGAGATAGGGCTTCCCTGGTGGCGCAGTGGTTGAGAATCTGCCTGCCAATGCAGGGGACACGGGTTCGAGCCCTGGTCTGGGAGGATCCCACATGCCGCGGAGCAACTGGGCCCGTGAGCCACAACTACTGAGCCTGCGCATCTGGAGCCTGTGCTCCGCAACGAGAGGCCGCCATAGTGAGAGGCCCGTGCACCGCGATGAAGAGTGGCCCCCGCTTGCCACAACTACAGAAAACCCTTGCATAGAAACGAAGACCCACCACAGCAAAAATAAATTAATTAATTAATAAACTCCTACCCCCAACATCTTCTTTAAAAAAAAGAAAGACAAGAGATAAATGTTGGTGAGGATGTGGAGAAAAGAAAACCCTTGTGCACTGTTGGGAGAAATGCAAAATGGTATTGCCATTTTGGAAAAGAGTATGGAGGTTCCTCAAAAAACTAAAAATAGAACTACCATATGATACAGCAGTCCTACCCCTGGGTATATATCCAAAGGAATTGAAATCAGGATCCCAAAGAGATATCTGCACTCCCATATTCATTGCAGCATTATTTATAATAGCCAAGATATGGAAACAACCTAAATGTCCTTCAGTGGATAAATGGATAAAGAAGATGTGAGATTTTTTATATATATATATATATATGTATATATATATATATATATATATATATATATATATATATATTACTCAGCCATAAAATATTACTCAGCCATAAAAAAGAAGAAATCCTGCCATTGGCAACAACGTGGATGAATCTGAAGGGCATTATGCTTAGTGAAATAAGGCAGACAGAAAGAAGTCGATTTCATGGAAACAAGAATAGAATGGTGGTTGCCAGGGCTGGAGGGAGGGGGAAATGGGGTGATGTAGGTCAAAGGGTACAAATGTTCAGTTATAAGATGTTTCGAGGATCTAATGTACAGCATGGTGACTATAGCTAATAATATGGTAATGTATACTTGAAAAATGCTGTCAGTAAATCTTAAGCATTTTCACCACACACACACACACACACACACACACACACACACACGAGTTGACTGTGTTAACTATGCAAGGTGATGAATGTTTTAATTATCTTGATCTTGGTAATCATTCTACAATATATATGTATACCAAATCATCATGCTGTATACTTTAAATATATATAATCATATTTGTCAATTATGCCTCAATAATGTTTAAAAAAATCACATATTATCTGGGAAGTGTAAAACTGGATTATCCTGAAGAATGGTACAAATATCAACTAACTTCAGATTATTATAAATTTTAAAAATCTTATAACTTCAAGCATAAATACTAAAAATGAAAAATTTATTTTTTGAACTAGCATAGAGAAAATAATACTGAGATAAAAATCATTTATCTAAACAAAGGTTAGAAGGGGAAGACAGACTAGATGGGACAATTAGAAAACATAAAAGAAGATGGAAGATAAATTTCATATATCTATATCTATAATTAAAAATAAAGAGTAATGAACTAAACGTTTGTGTTAAAAGGTAAGAACCACCATTTGGAATTAAGAAGTAAAATCTAATTATGTTTCTTACAAAAAACATATCTAAAATATAAAGAGAGTTATTTATAATAATAAAACAAATTATTTCCCCAGGAAGAAAAGACAAAAAAAAAAGAAAAAAAATGGAAGAAGACAATGTAAAGGACAGTTCTATAGCAGTGCTTCTCAAACTGGAATGTGTAGGGACTTCCCTGGTGGTCCAATGGTTAGGACTCGGTGCTTTTCACTGCCGGGGCCCGGATTCAATCTCTGGTTGGGGAACTAAGATCCTGCGAGTTCCCAACTAATGCCCATGCTTCGTGGTCCACAGCCCACATTCTGGGAAGCAAGGTTCTGAGGACCCTGGGAACCTACGTGTGGGGAATGCGGTGGGGTGGTCAAAATTGTAATTTTGTGTGACTTAGTGACAGTAGCAAAAACAGGAAACCTAGAAGGAGCTGGTTAGTATGAGACAATGTTAGTGTATCAGGTCTTTATAATTTCTTGCCATATTTTCTAATTATTTCAGCTGTGCTAGCTTAATATAAGTTTCTTGGGATTCTTTATTATGTGGTGGTGGGGAGGGAAGAGAGAGAAGCAGACAGGCAAGAATTAGTTTGCCTTGATTTTAAGCAAGGAGGATTACATCTCAGGAGGGCAAGTTCAATTTGGCCTCATTTCACTCTGCCTTTATATTCTGCAGCCATCAACTCCTTTTCCACACCAAACACAGTTTAAAAACACACATGGTCTCTGTCCTTTGTGTTCACCCACTATAAAATTAACAGCCCATTAAGAAACACACCTGCAGTGGCTTTATTCAGAGGCCAGTGCCTTGCAGCTTTTAACTCCCTAAAATACCTCCATTATTGCTTTCTGTGTTAAGGCTAAGAGTAATAACTATTTTAAGAATGTTCACTGTTAACTGTTAATAATAGATTTCAAATGCAATTTTGAACATAATTATGTATTACAGGACACATAATTTTGTGGAATTGACATTTATAATAAAATATGCCCTTTGAGATGATAAATGACCAACTGAGGACCTTAGTTTTCAGTGGAAGTTACTTTTTTCCATGTGAGGCAGAACAGTTTGGTCCCTAAAGGGCTGATTATACATTTAACTCCTAAGGTCCTGGAGCGGACAAATCTCTTCAATCAGCAGTAATTAACAGACCATGTTTATGTGGACACGTCTGTTCTCAATTTAATGTTCAGTTTGTTCAACTGCTATCCTCATTAGGGGCTTTTATCACTTGTTAAAATGCATCATTTGGTCATGCAAACAATATTATAAACATAAGAATTTAAAATGTTTTAGGTTCAATTTCTCCAAAGAAGA